CAAGTCTTGAGCCTTCAGTCTCTGTGGTGAGGGTCCGAGTCGAGTCTTGAGTCTCTGGGGAGCGAATCGGGGTCAAATGTTGAGAGTCTTTAGTCTCTGTGGTGCGAGTCTGAGTCGAAACACTGATTTCAATTTTCATCACTGACATCCAGTAAGAGCAACAGTGGCTGGGTGTTCCAACCAATGAGTGAACATATATATCTTATATACAGTCAATGGTTCACTCCTCTGTGATTGTAGCGCCACCCCTTGTTCACACATGGATTCTTATTACAGCAGAGGCTCTCGAGGGGAACTGGAGCTCCACTTTGCTGTTGCTTTTGTTAGTTTGCTGCTCATTGATTTATCCCTAATACTCCCATGAGCACTGTCCAGTTTAGTCTGCTGAAGGTGCTCACTTTAAAAGCTGTATTTGAATGGGAGGGCTATAACTGCGGATTCTATCACAGCAACATACAGCGCACTGCAGCTGGGCTTCAGCCTGCACTACTACGGATGATTCTAAGGGTCAAACTAGGAAAATGTGCGAATGGTGCTAAAACAATTTGTGCTGTTAATAATTTATTGTTTACTTTGGCATACATAATAATTATGCAGCAAAATGGATTAAACATTTGCAGTCAATATTCTACATAGGTTGGTAAAAAAAGGAAAAGCAGACATACGAGCTTCGTCCACTAAGTAACGCCTGTTGCACACATTTCTCTTTGTCTGTTTATGCTTTTTCTTGTTTCAGCGTGTCTTGCAGCCACTGTCCATATGCTGTCTGCCACATGCTCATTTGAATCAGGATGGTGTGATGCCCATTGGGGGCTTTTTGAGGAAACGTGACCCAGAAACAAAACCCTGACCCCCCTCCGTCTGCTCCAGCGATCTGCTCACCCTGAGCATTCTGGGAATCTGCTTTAGCGGCGCTGATGAGCACTGAGGAATGTGTGTGTGTGTGTTACTGTGTGACATGGAGCAGAGATCCAGAACGGAACGCTGTCATTACTGCTCACATGGTGGCCCTTCCACATGGAAGCCGCAGAACTCTGACAGCTTTCTGCACAAAACACAGGAGGTGCCGCGTATCGACATAATGACGAAGCCACTAGCGCGGAAAATAAATGCAAATGGAAAAAAAATCTTAATCAGAGGATCCAAATGATTCTGTAATCTGAGACAGATTTAAACTTTCCGTCGAAAGTTTTGCGTCTTTCTGGAAGCTTCCTAACAATAATTTTCACTGCTACCTTTCGGCGATGTAATAAAAAATCAACAGCAAAGTTTTCTTAAGACAAAACAGCTTTTATGAAAAAAGAGCTGGTTCTAAAACACGATTGGCTGCACCACATTTAAAGCCACTGTAAAATACACATGCACAGTCATATGAAAAGTTTTGGCGGCCCTTGTCAAAATGTCCTTTTTTTTTCTCAGTGAAAATAAGTTAAAACCTTCCCTGGGAACAAACTTTTATTATTACTGTTTAATTACTGAATTTAACATATTCGAGGAAATGTGCAAACATTAAATTTTATCTTTGATGCTTTATTTATTTCCAAAATGTTAAACTCAGCAAATAAAAAAGAAATTGTGAAATTTAAGCTTATTTGCTGTAGAGGATGTTAAATTATTTTCACTTAGGAAATCAACTTGTAATTTGACTGGGGGTGTTTAAACTTTTGCGCACAACTGTATGACTGCACATAACAACTGACCAGACACATTCATGGGATAATCTTTGACTGTTATGTTCCGGATGATGTCACTGTAAAACTACACACACTGCAGATTCATACTGGATTAAAATCACTCCACAATTATTACTGTCAGACTGTAAAATCTACACACACTGCAGATTTATACTGGATTTAAATCTTGTTGGTAAACATTTCTATTGCAGTATGATTTTCTATAAGTATATCTAACAGAGCTTTAGTCTGACCCCCTGCCTCTAAACCTCACATTTCACTGATGGTTCTTCAGACTGCAGTAGAAGACCTCTCTCTTTCTTTAAAGCCTGCTGGAGCTTATTCATCGCGAGTTGACCATCTATCGCGCTGTGATGCAGTTAATGAATAAAGTGATCTTTCATCCTCTGTTGTTTGGATTTTCCTCGACCAGTCTTGGTCGTTAGCCTCTAATATGGAGCTCAGACGTTGGTCGAATTTCAGCAGTTTTAATGATCCCAGCCACTGTGCGGCTCTATATACGTGTGGGTGGTTCCTTAAGGCTCTGTGCCTTTCGCTCCATCATCTAATTGCTTCTGCTGCAGCTGCACACACAGATCCGCAGCCGAGAAAGCCAATAGTGAGGTCAGCAACTGCACCGAAGGGCCAAACGCGCTTAATAGGTAAAAATAAGTGTAACAAATGAGGAGGGTGCTGGAGAGCTGTGTACAGTGGAAGAGTGAGACACTGTAAATGCAGCAGCATAAACACACACACACACACACACACATACACACACACACACACACACACATACAGTTTCATTAGCAAGCATTAGACAAAGCTTCCTGACACAGAGATCAAGCTTGTTAGTGCGGAATTAACACGACTGAAAGTGGCAGAGTCTACGCAGCGTCCTCACTGCCAGGGTAAATTCTCTTCAAACACACATACACATGAAGACAAACTCTCTGTGAGGTTGGACAAGCTTTACAGAACCCTGTTTAATCAGTGGAGTTCCCTCAGAACCTTCTAAGCCTTCAGAGAAAGATTTCTGTGAAATAAAAATAGACGCGTGTAATTTTAGTTCCTTTTTACTTCTTAGAATTATCATACAATTCTACACATATTGTAGTAAAACTCTTATGTCATTGCTGAGTTTTGGTTGGAAACATTACATTTTTGTAACGACCCATGGAAAATGATCTAATCAAGGCTATTTCATACGCAGTATGATGAGCTGTGCTCTGCTAGCACTATGCTCCTATGTTAATCGATGCAGCCTTTCACACCGGTCGTACATGTCACGTGTCACCTTGGTGGCAATGTGCTTGTGAAACGCAAAAATACGCTTTGCATCTATTCTTGACGCGTGGCATGCTAGCAGTGTTTAGGCAGAAACACTTAGAAAATGCAGTATTCATGCTATAATGTACAATCAAGGCTAATAAACAAGTCAATAAATCTAGTTTGAACTTTCTGACCATGTGGCAGAAATCCCTCGAGTAGGTTAATGCTCTGAATCCACATGCGTCTCCCCCTTTTTGTATAGCTATATATCAAATGGTGTGAAAGCTAGCAATGGTAACGGCAGCAAGTCAGTTTCTATGGTAACACTTTCTATGAATGTCACGTTTGTAAACATCTATAAACACATTTATAACATGTTATAATGCATTCATAAGGCATTATATACATGGTTATAAATGTTTATAAAAATGAATTACACTGAATTACACTTTATAGCCATGTTTATTACACATTATGAATTGTTAATATAATGTACTATAAGCAGTGTTAATAACATGTTATACTGTCAGTGCCAAAGAAGTCAGTCCCACCTTGGAGAGCGTAAAGACAAATACAAAGTTTATTTATGTTCTGGGATTTCCAATATTTTATTTCTCACCGCTGGTGCTGTTAGGGCTGCATCTTCGTGGCTTCAGTCCTGAATATTCAGATGCTCCAAACAGGCTGTCCAGCCGAAAATTATTGCTACTATGTGCTTTTCTTACCCAGCAGCTCTCACTTTAAATGTTAAATTACATCACAGCAAACCAAGTACCCATGAGCCCCACCCCTGTCATTGTAATTTGTTCCCTCACTGGTTTAATGTCAATCGCTAGAAACCCTCACTCTGTAGCATCACTACACTACAGTACAGTAATGCTAGCATTCTACTGGATATGCATTGTGAAGTTGGTGCCAAGCTAACGGTGGTGTAGATTGACTTTCCCACATTGGGTAAAACACTGATGGCAGCTCTAGTTTAAACTCTGACATTTGAAGCCTGTAATGTGCTTTACTGTGTATGTTTTAGTGTTTCAGTAAATCCTTCAGTAAATACTTCAACTTGAAGCCTCACTCTTAACACTGGAGGAGGCTTTAGTACAGTACGCTTCACTTTACTTAGAGTGGACAAATACAACTTATGAGCTCTTATAATTTGTTATGAACAGTACTTATAATGCATTATGTTAACAATTCATAATGCATAATAAGCATGGCTATAACATGCAATGCAATTTTATAAATATTTATAGCCATGTTTATGATGCCTTATGAATGCATTATAACATGTTATGAATGTGTTTATAGATGCTTACAAACGTGACATTCATAGAAAGTGTTACTGTTTTATCCAGTACCACCCACTAGTTAGGACTCTCCCAGTCACAAGATAACACCAGCTTTAGGAGAGTGAAAGCTAGCACAGGCTTCCTCTGAGACCTGTGAAGCCACCACATTGTTTTGTACTGCTGCATATGCAATGTCACTGGACAGCTGAACGTGCTTGGAGGAAAGCACTAACCGTATCTTGTGTTGATAGGGCCAACACTTAGAGGGAACCCCCAGGTTTTTACTGATCCCTTGATGTTGTCCACATACAGTTTGTTTAACCCTCTGGGGTCCAGGAATTTGCCCATGCATCAAATTCAATGTTTCTATATATGTTTCTGTCTTTGTGATAATACAGCGCAGAAATATGGTTCATTTCCTGAATCTGAAAAGGTCAGGTGTTATTGTGAATAACTTCAAGGCTATGATCTATGGCGACCGAATCACAGCCATGACATCATTCGCAATAACATACTCCTTCTCTTGCTTTATAGCTTACACGTTTAGGACAGGGGAGCCAGGGAACCAGTGGGCTAATGGATGGCTAACACAAACTGTGCATCAACAGATGGACTACAGTCAATACAGTCAGCACCTGTATGCTAGGTGTTTCTGATAAAATGGTCAGAAAGCAGGTGTACTTATTAAACTGGACACTTCTATGGACAAATCTCACTTGCTAATTTGACCTGAACTTTCGTCTGAATCTTTGGGCCTGTGGGGACTCACACTTGGATGTCCAGCATGATCCTCTTGTCCTCCTCCACGTGGATGCCCCAGATGCAGTCCTGCCCTTTGTCGTAGGCCTCGGGCCAGTTTGGGGAGAGAACCACTCCAGCGGAATCTGTGATCTCTCCACTGCACACAGCTGCGGCACACATGAAATCAACATGTACATCCACTCACACTGCATTAGTTAAAGGTGTCTGTGACTGGAAGGCTTTACTCACTTGAAACATGTTGTATTACTGTAGAGTCATCTTTAGTTATCTGTTATTGTAGTTAAACAGCTAAAACATTGACCTCGGCAACCAAAATGAAATCAAAAGGCTTTTTTTCAAGTGCATGTTCTGAGGTGGTGCTGGGGGTATTTGGCTCAGCGCGTGAGTGTGGTTATCTCCTCGCTCTAGGCTCCTATGTTTTCAAATTTATGAGTGTGGCACGAGTAGGGCGTCATCAGGGGGCGGTAACGTTGTTTGACTGATTAGCATACTGTACCGAAGTACATAGACACGTCATCCACGCCTATAGCAGAGTTGAACCAGAGGGGGCTGCAGAGGTGGAACTGACCACGATAAAAATGATATATTTACAGTTTGGAAAGATGTGTTCACATTTTAAGCAAGGCTGGTTGTAAATAATGTAGATTGCAAATCAAATTTCAATATAACTTCACACGTTTAAGCAGGGAAAAAAGTACTGTGCATGATATGTAAAAAAAGTTACATAATATATAAATAAATTAACACATCATCTACAGGGAACACACTAAAATATGACCTTTTCTGCAAACTTTAGTGCACAATTTCTATTTATTTGCTGAGTTTAACATATTGGAAAAAGGAAACTTAATATATAAATTGGGTCGTAACTTGTGCACATATTTTTAATCAATATGCAATATTTCCAATAATTCAGCGTATAAACAGTACTTGTGCATTAAAATGTGAAGAAGTGTGTTCTCCTTGCCGGTTAACTTATTTTCACATTTCAATCAATAAAAAGTCAGAAAAAATCTATAAAACATCAGCTGACCGGGGTGCCAAACCTTTTGCACATAACTGAAACTACACAGTACTTTTTACTCAAAATACTTGCACAGTACTGTGGAGTTTGCACCACACATTTACTCAGGTAATACTTAGAATGTGCTGACCATTTTAGTGCAATTTAGTTAGACTCCTTTGGAATTCATGCAAAAATAATTACTTAATGCTTTGGAATTGGTACCTCACACTTACCTCGTTAATACCTACTACTTAAGGCTCTGTATAACAAAGCTTGATCAAAGCAAGTAAACATGTCTAGAACTTAGTTTGTATGATCGTATAATGTACCAACAATGTCATAATGAGTAATATTAGGCTTGAATAGATTAGATGTAAGATGCTTGCCAAGACAGCCTTGTTTACAAATGGAAGGTTTTATTCAGTAATGTCTGAAAAACTTGTAGATATAGTGAGGACTTTATCTAAATCTACAAGACATGTGACTTCACACACACTCTTGTCACTCACTGGGCTGTGGCAGTGGTCACTCACCTCGGCAGGCCGGCTCCGTCTCATTCCACTGAGGGTTGTCCGGGTCCACACACTCTATGGTTACAGATCCCTGCTCCAGAGTGTATCCCGGCTCACAGGAGAACTCCACCACTGTGCCTACTCCATACGACAGGTCACTGCTGGAGAAGTTGCCATACTTCACAAAGGGCTTGTAGCACGTCCCCTCAGCAAAGGCTGAAAACATACACCACAAACAAGAACTCAAATTCCAAACATCAGCATTCTCCACAAATTCCATTACACCACAAAGCATACTTGTTACACAGCGCTTAACTCTGTTAATACTCTATTTTATGCATTAACATTTTAGTCTAGGCTTGTGAAAAGACTCTTGGGCTCCAGCCACTTTACATGGTGGTACAAATATTTTTTGGCTAAATGTGACACAAATCTGATATGCTTGAACACAAAAATCTGACCTTTTTAAATCAGATTTGAGACTTTCATATATGATGCATATCCTACACATAGCCATGCAAACATAATGAGAACAGGCAGACTGGGAAGCCTTCGTCTTTCAGAGATCGAGCTCCACTCTTGCTTCAGATCTGAAAGAATCAAAAAGTTTTCCTGTCCATCCTTCCACTGTGAGAAGACAACTCAGCGCTATGAGTCTGAAAGCTGTCAAAAAGCCCTTACTGAGAAAATAAATAGACAAAAATGACGAAATCATTCAATGGACTGGCCACCCCAGAGAGTCCAGATCTCAACATCACTGAATGTGTGTGGGACGACTTGGATCATGAGAAGCATATCTAAGACTGAACTTTGAAGGCGCATAAAAATATCCCTGCAAATGTCTTTTGAGAAACTGAAAGTGAGTCTTCTGAAAAGAATGGAAGCTGTAATAAAGGTAAAGAGTGGACAAACTAAATACTGAAAAAAAATTAATTATATTTGTTAAGGCTGTTTTCTGTTTCATTCCTAACACTAAAAAATGAGTAACTTGTTTTGAAGAGTCATTTAAATGGAAATGAAATAAATAATGGGTGGTCTGTAATGATGCTGGGTGGCATGGATGTTTTGGTATACATATTATATAAGACCTAAAGCCCATGTGTCAAACACAAGGCCCGCGGGCCAAGTCAGGCCTGTGGCACAATCCTATTTGGCCCACAAAAGTATTTTAATTTTCTATTAATATTAGCCCACTACAGTTCCCAACATGCACTGCAACGTAATGTGTGCCCCCACCCCCTCCCCAACAATGATCTATGGGACAGCAACACAAAAACAAACCAAAACGAAAAAAAGATGTCAGGTGTCTAGATCAAGCGAATGGGCCATTTCTAAAACCTACTGTACACTGGGGTCATTTAAAGAGGTTTTGCAGCTAATGTAGCCTATTGTTTTACATAAAATTGTTCAAGTATTCAGTGCCTTTTTTTGACGCTGTAGTTTTGGCATATTTTGAACAAACAATGGCCAGTTTAGGTCATGGCAAAATGATAAGCAAAAATAAAATAAAAGCACAGCCGTTGTTTAATTTTTTTAATATGGCCTTTTTAAGTGATTGAGTTTGACCTAAAGGGAGGAATAGCACCAGTTTTTACAGTGTTCATGGTGTAAAAAGCGACCTGAACTGTTATATGCAGCTTTCACTTCACTGTTTGTCTGTTCAAGAGAAGTTCTTCTGTACTCCTGAAGCGTCCGATTGGACAGCCAACCTTCTCCATATAGAAACATCTGTATTTACTCTTGACTTTTCCATACAGATATTTACTATCCCTGCACAAACGTGAAACTTAAAATATGCCAAAAAACACTTCGAATCGAGCAGTTAATCCTCGTCTCACTAGCGATGCATTTAAAGTGTAGTTACAACATGTGCCTATTCCCATTGGCCACAGTAAAATGGATCAGCATGTGGAGCTGGAGCTTTCTGTATGCTACTGTGTTTCCTATCACGGTATAAAAGAAGCTCCAGGCTGCATTTATTGATGGATGACAGAGCGATAAGACCTGAGATAAAGCTGCTGTAGGCCTTGACTCAAGACCACCTCAAGTCCTGTCCAAACCAGTTCTTATAACCTAAGCTCAGTACCTTCATATCGAATAGCAGCACCAGTGCAGGTCCCCGTCTCGTCGGTGGTGAACTCCACAAACAAGTGCCTGCCTGTGCTCACCACGCCTTCATTGGGAAGATATTCCACTTCGTAGGAGTCGTATATGGGGGGTGAGTCGATGTTGTTCCCGTTCTTGATGAGCAGCCTGCACAAAAAAACAAAAAAACAAAACAGAACAACATTAGAGTGGCTTCGGGAATTGTCTGAGACAACTAAAGCAAAGATAAAAAACACAGAGGCTTTTAAGTCAAGCTTTTACTGGTTTTTGTTTCATCGGTGGAGGATGGCTCTGTAGTGGAGCGGCTTCATTAAAGAGCCATTTGTTAGCGCAGCCTTGAGACACGGCAGTTACAGTACAAAAATGTAATTAAATCTCCACTTCCCATATCTCTTCTGCTGCCTCTGTAGCCGCTCCATTAATTTGCATGTGGGGATGCTCTTAATTATGTGGAATGACACAGAGTGGGAGAGGATTCCACAGATGGAGCACGGGAGGCTTTGTGGCACTTTGTTCCATGTGTGCGTGCTTGAGGTTCGGGGCCGTACCCTTGGCAGGGGCACGCGCCAGCAGAATGCCTCCTACAACTGGGCAGCGTCCAGAGCGGTGATCTAACAGACTGGAATCTGTCATGTAATTAAAAGTGGTAGTTGTACAGTGTTTGCGTTCAAGTATTCAAGTGCTTTGTGGTCAGAAAATAGGTTAGCTAGTTAACTAGGCTGATCTATTTTGGTATCTTACACAACGTTTTTCTACATTGTAAACTTGTACATCATGAAATCAATGTTTACAGCCATAAGCAAACATCTTAACACAGTAAAAAATTAGACGTGAGCTCAACTAAAGAGTTTAAGGTAAATAATAACACATTTTTTCTTGAGTTAAGTCGACTCAATTCACCAATTCAACTGAATCTTCTTTGTTAAGCCAAAAGTTCTCATAACACTCACATTATGTCAGGATTTTACCTTAAAATAAAAGCTTCAAAATCATTTTGATGGTACACTGACTTACAATAGGGAGAATGGCGTCTGTGTCAGTGCCACTCTGTGCCCAGAACACCTGCTATAGTGCTATGTAACTTTGGAGGAGCAGGCACGAAACCTCTCATGAGAACTACGTAATGCTTTATGGCACCACCTCACACACCAACAACTGTGTCCTCAGCTAGTTTTAAGAAGAAGCTCAGTATTCCCAGCATGGACATCAAGGCAGGGAATGCCAAGAGAAGACCATGAAGGCCAAAGAAGACGTTGTGGGAGGAACAGAAGAAGAGAGAGACTGAGCAAGAGACCGGACAAGAGTAAATCTCAGACTGGCTTTTAGAGAGCTGAAAGAGATAAAAGGATGCAAGACAGTCTCACGGCTAATGGGAAAACAACAAAAACTCGACAGCAGAGTGTTCATCCCTGCCAATGTTATTTACGAAAGATGCTGCTATAGGCCTTATTGGTGTCATCCCTGTCTCACAGAGTTTTGTAGTTTTTCCAGATGCCAAAAGTCTAAACCTCAGTCCGTTTCAGGCTGGCATACAAAGAAATAAATTCATCTCACAGCAAACAATTTGGTCAGTCTGCCAATTTCACACCAAATTAGCCTTGAAAGTTTGCAACCTCCTGTAATAAGATCTGTAATTTTACTTACCTTGTAAGTCAAGATGGACCTTTCTGCCCTGATGTTCTTTGCTAGTGTTGTGCCGAATTCTGAATCCCTGGCAGAATCCAGTTCCCCTTCGCATGACATGCAGGCATATAGACACTACAGATTACACTCTTGATTTTGGTTATTTACAAATAAAAAAAACAAAAATAGCGAGTGTAATCCGTAGAGTCCATATGCCTGTGTGACGCCCATGCATGCAAAGGGGAGTCAGATTCGGTATCCGTCAACGCATCAACAAATGCACATGTACAGCTGTCCTCAAAGCATGATTTGTATTTATGACAGTGGTGTAAAAGTGAATTACACTCCGCAATCGCACGGGGACCCCAAGAGCAAAGATACCGATTCTCGCATAATGCTGTTTTAAGTAAACAATGTAGATTATATTGTTATATTTATAATATAATATATTTTTACACAGTTTACCCACTAGCTGGGGTTCAAACTCTCAATCTTCTGATGTTGGGATTGAATTTAGCCACCACACGTTACTACATTACTTTTCACTTAAAATAACAATTATTTGAGTAATTTCGGGAGCTTATTAGTGAGTGGTACAACAGTCTAAGCATTCACCCCCACCAGGAGGTATTGAGTTTGAACCCCAGTGATGCTATCCGTAAATATCAGATGGGACTGTGTGATGGAAAAGGCCAAGCTAGTGAGGAAACTGAGTAAAAATGATACATTCTATATTTTTACCAAACTGGGATGCAGAACTAAAAAGTGTGAATTAGCAGAACTTTTGACTAAACTAAGAAGTTTGAATGTTTGGGTGAACTCTAGAATTCTCATGTCAAGAAAAGCTGTGTTATCAGTTACCTTATAATTTTGAGTGGACTTTCATTTTTAACAGTGTAGCCTAATTGCTGGCTACTAAAAGCAAGTTTCAGGATTACCACTGACCACTGAAACTGCCCTGCATCATGTATGATAATATAGGAATCATCGCTTAAAATGATTGATTGGCATTAGATAGACCAATCAGACTGACCAATATTTCAAATCATTATTTTATAATGTTATTGTACTGCAGAAGAGCACAATGTGGTAACTCACAACTCTGCTACATAACATTGATATAAACTATAAGCATGCCATAAGTGTGTCATGGTAGATGGTATATGCTGTCATTAAAGATTATGTCCAGTGATATAACAATGTCACATTACCATTACTGGTAATTGTCATGGCAGATATCATCATGTTTGATGTCATGATGGCTGCAAACATTATGACATCTCTCATGACAATTAATGCCAATGGTAACACGACACTATTATATTACTGGACAAAATCATGACAGCATATCACATCTGCCATGACATGTTTATAGTATTGTTATGTCAATTTTATGCCAGTGTGATGTAGCAGGGTTTACAGTCTTAACCCACACTGTGCTACTGTGATATTGCACTAAATGTCTGCATTCTATTAATGTAACTGCATTTAAAACACTATAAAAATGAACACTGCATTTTTCTGTATAGCTAATAAAGCTTTGTTTCAAAAATATATTTGGCCAACCTTGGTCTTCGGCACAGGACAAAATATGGAGAAGCTCAAAGTAGAGCCACTACTCCTCCACATTGAGAGGAGCCAGTTGAGGTGGTTCAGGCATCTGATCAAGAAGCGCCCTGGCCGCCTCCCAGTGGAGGTTTACCAGGCACGGCCTACAGGCACGAGGCCCCGAGGTCGCCCTAGAACCCGCTGGAGGGATAATATCTCCAAGATGGCCTGGGTGTGGCTTGGGGCCCCTTGGACTGAGCTGGAGAAAGTTGCAGAGGACAAGGTCGTCTGGGATTCTCTGCTTTGTAAGAATTTGATAGGCCTGTTTTTCCCCTCTAACACCTTTACCAACAATACAGCTTGCCCTTTATATTAAAATATAGGACTTCCCATAATACAACTGCTGTGTTCAGCATAATGAGTTATCCCATATGTATTTCAACCTGCTATTACCTGTCGTCGTCCTCAGCCAGGGCCACTTTTTCAAAGTGGACATGCAGCCTGTGGCCCTCGGGGGCCTCCAGGACCCAATGGCAGGTGAGGTTGTTGCTGTAGTTGCCTGGAAACCCGGGCGAGACGATGCGGCCCAGCGTGGCATTTTTCACCATCCCTCCGCAAGCGGCTGCCAACAGAACACACATGAGAGAGAGATGGGCGTGCGAGTAAAGGACAGATAAATGAGGGGAGAGAAAAAGCAAGAATGAAAGGTTAGCAAGCAATAAATTGTAAGAAGGAGATAACAGAAAATAACAGTAACCAAACGCTGCGGTGTCCCCTTGGACAAAAAGGGCAATCTGAGTAGGAAAGGTCGAGTGAGATAAAGAGATGGAGCTGCAGTGTTTGTGTCTGTTCATGTATGGGTAAGAAAGAGACATAAAGATCATGTTTGTGCTGCCTATAAGTGCATGAGTGTTTGTGACTATGTAGGAAAAGACATGAATTTGCTACCAGTACCAAGTGTGGTATCATAATGCTCAATGCCAAAAGGACACCATGGCAAAAAATCAAAAAACTCTGTAAACACTCAGTGTTTAGTGGATTGACTGTGAAATAATATTCACATTGCTACGGCATCATTAGCATTTCTTGCATTTGTTCCTATTTGAGAGCTACTGAGGTACACTGAGCCAAAGTGAGGCCAAGTCATGGGATATAAATATACACTGTGTGGCCAAAAGTATGTGGACATCTGATCATCACACCCATATGAGTTTGTTGGACATCCCATTCCAAACCCATTGGCATTAACATTGTAGCGACCTGCTACTGACTGGTTGCTGGCTTCTAGAAGCTGGTGAGGCGTGGTCATGCTGATGGCCACACCAGGAGGACCATGGGAAAAATGCGCCATCCAGAAAAGGGACCTACTGTTCTTGTTAATGTCATTGTTCACTGGTTTGAGGTATGTGTAGGTGTTTATTGTGTTATTCTGTGTTGGAAGACGTGGGTTGTTAGTGTGTGTTTTGGGTGGGAGGTGGGGAGGGGTGTTCACCGGTAGTGTGAAGCTTTACAGGGCAACCTCATATGCAACTTATTTCAATTTTAACATTAAGCTTTAAGAAAGTTAGGAGAACTTATCTTTTCAGAGATACAGTGAATGGTTTACTTATAACAGCAATAAAATGATCAAATTCGCAAACTAATAGTGTTGAGCTTAGCATTAGACTAAGGTTAGGTTTAGTTTTAGATGTATTTCTTTGGTTGAGGTTAAGATTAGGGAAAAGTTAAGTTGAATAAAATTGATATTGATTTGAATATCAATTAACAACACAGTGATCTACAAATGTCCTGCAGGACAGTTAAGACAAAGAGGCGTTAAAAAGGCATGATGACCATTTCAGTGTCTTCTGTGCAAATACATTTAGATACTGCTGCTCTTGAATGTTTGTTAAATGTCGTTGCTGACAAGCAAAGTTAAGGCTACTACAGCGTTCAATTAATCTTCATTACATACACTGACACCGAGATATCAATTAACACCTTAACAGATGGTCCCGAGAACAGAGATTTATGATGGGTCATCTATCCAGACAAAAGATAATCACTCATGGTTTATTGGTTGAAGGACAAGCGTGTTTGAGGCACCATACAGGTGTTTTTAGAGGGAAGCTAAAAACAGACACAGAGGAAGTACACTGAGGAATAAATGTGCCAAAAAGGGTTATTTGGAGCAGTGCTGCAGGAGAACCACTTTTGGCACCCTAAAGAACCCTTGAACGCATAAGTCTTCAAAGAACCATTTGTGAGGAACCTTTTTGAAGTTTATGTCATAAAATCAAATACCTAAGAATAATTCAGGAAGTTTTGAAGGATGTTCTGTGTTATTTCTTCCCTGAGGTCCACTTAGGATGTTTATGTACCAATATTGGTCATAACTAATTTCTTCAGAACCTTCCTGACCTCTCACTGTCCCCTAGAATGAAACAGAATAAATGAATGAAATGTTACTGTGCCTTTAAGACTGATATATGTAAATGACCCATGTGCTGATTGGTTGTCCCGCATTGATCCTCATTCCAAGAGCTCTTTGTGCTGAAACACTCCTTGCATAATTAAATGGTTGAGATGTAAACAAAGTGATTCAGAGTGGTTTGGTGTGAAATGCTACATTATTGAGAAACTTACGGTCAAAATTGTTCACAATGGTGGTGATAAGAACCAGATGTCCACCTCTAAAAGCTCTGTCACACAAAGTTATTACACTAAATAGTTATTTATATACTGTCTAATGTCAGATACATTGTTTTGCGATGTATAAAATAAAATCTATTTATGGCAGAGGGATACATGCAGGTAGCTATAAGGCAAAACTTAGAATTACCACTATTTTACCACTATCAGCATTACATATTACCAAAAGGCATGTGTAGGTTCACTGGTGGTTTTGGACAGTAAATAAAACAACTATATTTGTGCTGTAGATATCTTGACCCCTGGTTCCTATCAGCACCACTGTGAAGAAATCTGAGTCTGTAAGTTTCTCTACTATGAACCATTTTACACCAAACCACTCTGACTTTGTTTACATCTCAACAATTAAATTTTGCTTTAAAAAAAAAAAAAATTTAGCTTCATTACCTCAAGGTGAATGCATGGATGGAGACATGTAGCTCACAAGGTAACTGCTAAGATAACTAATTTGTTCAAAATAAGAAATACTGTATTTGTGTTTATTTGCACCTAATCTAATGATATATGGTATTTTTTACAAGCAAAAACATACTTACTGCAGAGACAAATGTGCTTAGGTGCCGTTCTGTATGTGAATGTGTTGGTTTTTGTGACATCACAAAACCCATAAGTTTTGTAGTCTAATTTCTGTATCTGAAACCTAATGACAGGGGAGGGAATGGAACCTTAAACTCAAGCAAGGAGAACTGTCTATGACCTTTAAGAATGTACGGTAGTGAGATGGTTGCTCCTTACCAAGGCACTTGGGCTCTTTGCCGCTCCAGTAGGGCATGGTGGCGTTGCGGCAGGTGAGGGACGAGGGACCCTGGAGCTGGTAGCCAGTCAGGCAGAAGAAATAGGCCTCTCCTCCTGCATGGAGGCTGCTGACTGATACTTCACCATTAGCTGGGGTCTGAGGGTAGGCACAGCTCAAAACGAAGGCTGAGGATAGAGAGGAGTGGAAGAAAGAGAGAGGAAAAGAGAGTGAGAGAGAGAGAGAGAGAGAAAGAGAGAGAAATAAATATTACAGTTTTTAGACAGAGAGGAGAGGAGCATGTAATGCCACTGTCAAATCGTGACAAGAATTAATTGTGAAAAACAAAAAATGCAATCTCTGACTTTTGCACAGGGCTGTATATGGACCTCCCGGTCAAATTACATGTTTTATTGATTTCACTGATTTTTTAGATTTCTGTATATTTCAGTTTTTAAGATGTAAACAATGTCATTCAGAGTGGTTTAGTGTGAAGTGGTTCATTGCAGACAAACTTACAAACTCTTTGGTAAGGCTCTTTACAGTGTTACAGTGGTGGTGATAGGAACCAGGGGTCACAACGTCTATAACACAAATATAGCCATTTTATTCACCATCCAAAATCTCCAATGAACCTATACATGTCTTCTGAGTTCTTCTTTGGGGACTTTTTTGCCTGTACCCCTCTGCCATAAATGCATTTAGAAAATACTTTTTAGGCCAAAAATCTCCAACATACCATAAAACATTCAGTCATCAAGCAACACATTTTAACCATTTTGTGTAATAACTTGCTGTGTGGCATTTTTTAGAGACATGAAACTCTTCAGACGTCTGGTTCCCATCACCACCACTCTAATCAATTCTGGCTCTGAGTTTATACAGAACAGAGCATTTCACATTACACCATTCTTGAGTGACTTTGTTTACATCTTAATCATTTAATCATGCAGAAATTTTGAAAAATCTGTGGAATTCCCCTTTTACACATCCTCTACCAGGAACAAGCGTAAATATGGCATTTTTGTTTAACATATTGGATGTGTTCCCTTATAGTCACTTATATTCTCTTAAACATATGATAGTATGACTATTATATATATATATATATATATATATATATATATATATATATATATATATATGTGTGTGTGTGTGTGTGTGTGTGTGTGTGTGTGTGTGTAGTTAAAAACATTTGGTGCTGGTTAGAATCATTTTTAAATAGGTTCTTTAAAGAAGCATATACAACTGAGATTTCATCATGTAGGAGAACCATGCAAAGAACCATTTATGTATTCAAATGGTTCTTTGGGTGTTCATGGTCCAGAACCACTGCTTTTACTAAAGAACCCTTGAATAACCATTTTTTCAAGGGTAAATAAATATATAAAAAAGAAAGAGTTGCAGTTCGCTTTTAGTCTGGGTGGTCATTTAATGTCAGTGTTACGGAATATAATGATTGCCCATCATAATTAAGTTTGCTCTGGCCGGCTGGAACAGGAAAAGGTCACGGCAAGTTAAGATCCTGCTGCATATTAATGCAGGGTAATGAGTGCAGAGGGGCTATTTGGGGAGAATGGAGAGACTAATTGGGCCAGTCTACATTTCCCATTAGCCTTCAGCTCCGTCTGTTTTGTGAGCGAGTTTAAAGCGGGCCCTGTCCGTCATGTAGGAGAACAAACACAATATTCTTTAAGGACCAGGTCAAAGAGAAAGACATGAGTAATACTGCCTATGTACGGGCATCTATTACTGCTGTATGAATGGAAACGGATCTGAGGGCCGGGGTCAAGCATGGTTGGTAAATCTAGCGTCTTTGTCAGGTCTTTGATGTGTTTTCTCTGAAACCCTGCTCCGGGGGCCATTCGCTCCGCTCTGCCTGCCAGGCGGTTATATATACTGTATGGCAAGACAAATGGGCTCGAGCCTCTTGCAGTGTCACTGACCGCCTGCCGAAAACAAGCCAGCTTCGGACGTCTGGCACAAGCCATTAGTGGTGAGGGTGATGGAGAGATGTGACCTTGGCTGTGATGGTGGTCATAAAATAGGACCCCTGCCAGTCCCTCTGACTGTCCCGCCATGGCAAGATGGACAGAGCACATAGATTTACGCAGGATTTCGATTAATCAGGAAGGCTTAACCCAAGTGGTCGTTAGCAACAGTGCAACATTTTCCCCTTATCCCAAAAGTAGTCCAGCAGCCAAAAATGTCTGGAGTCTGAAGTTGCCTCTTTAGTTTTTCCCTGAAGCCACGAGGCTAATGTAGCTAACAAGTAATGGAAGATACTACCAAACCAATCAGCTTTGTGCTAGCTTGTATCAAACCGTGTAGAGCTGTTAAGTAATTTTAAGTAGAATTGTGGTTTCTGACACTGAATGACACACTGCTGTCCACAGAAATGGACAAACTTTAGGCCTCAAGCTAGCTGCTACTGCTGGTTTAGCTATTAGCTGTTTCAACTTTTTAGTCTATTTTTCATAGATAACAGCATGTAATGAAAATAGCTGACACTATCAAAAGTTGATGTGAGATTTTCGCAGGGTTGACTTCTCACATGTAGAAAAGTAAATGCTAAAAGCTGGCACTGAAAAGAGTCGACACTATAAAGAGGGGAGCCGTTGAGAGCTGAAGCGCATAGCGCCTACCCTCTGCTGAATCACTCACTACAGAGTTGCATTCTGTCTCTGCAAGCAACATTAGCAAAACAACTGTGCATCGGGAGCTTCATGAAATGAGCTTCCATGGCTCAGCAGATGCATGCAAGCCTTAGATCAAAATGCACAATGCCAAGCGTTGGCTGGAGAGGTGTACAGAATGCCACCACTGGACACTTGTTTGCAGTCTGATAGACGAATCTGGGTGTGGCAGGCGCTAGGAGAACGCTACTTTTTTTTTGTGATCAGTTGTTTTTATTTTTAAGATAGTGCTCCAATGTAATACAAAATGCAGTAAGCAACAAAAGACATAGCAACAAAATGAAGAACCCAACCACCCCAACATCCCCCCCCCACCATGGCACCCATAAACCCACCACTGATCAAAGAAGAAAATAATAGTGAGAAAATAAATTGCCAATTTTCTTAGCTGCACTTTCCAAAGAGCTCAAGGTCCTCCTGCTAGCTCCATGCAGGATCCATTAAGGGTGATATTGATGTTACAGCATACAAAGACATTTTAGACAATTATATGCTTCCAACTTTGTGGCAACAGTTTGTGGAAGGCCCTGTTCTGTTCCAGCATGACTGAGCCCCTGTGCACAAAGCAGCTCCATAAAGACATGGTTTGATGAGTTTGGTGTGGAGGACCCCCAGTGGCCTGCACAGAGCCCTGACCTCAACCCCAATGGACACCTTTAAGCCAAGCCTTCTCATCCAACACCAGTTTCTGACCTCACAAATGCTCTTTTGACTGACACCAATCCCCCCTAACATACCAAAATATTGCGGAAAGGCTTACTAGAATAGTGGAGGCTGTTATAGCTGCAAAGGGTGGGCCAACTCCACATTAATGCCCATAATTTTCTAATGGGATGTCCAACAAGCCCATATGGGTGCGATATATGAGTGTTCACATACTTCTTGATATATAGGGTATGTCATGAAGAAGGTGTATCACATTGGTTCATAAACTTCTACTATCATCCCTAATACAGTATTAAAACTGTTGTAATGCTACCTCTACTACTCAAATCTCATCTCTTCTCCCTCTTAAGCAGCCTCCACTGGGTACTCCAGCCTCTGTGTTGCTTTCTAAGATGAGATTCATACGGGCAGAGTTACATGCAGCTGAGCGAGAGGAGTACAATTAGGCTGCTGCTACATAAAACAACTTTAGCATCTCGTAGCCCATTGGAACAGTGTAATCACCGGCTCTTGAACTCCCTTCTCTCCTCACTGCCGTGTAGGAAAAATCAACATTAAAGCTCGCCAGCTTCACAGCTGGCTGCACGGCCGACACCAGGCATTAAAGGAGAGCGCACTTCAGGAAGCAATTTTGGCCCCCCCACCCTTCTCGCTGCCAGAAGCGGTTTGGAATCAGAGCCTGGAGTGGGAGAAGCTCTCGCAAGGCAATCAAGCTCAATAAGAGCAACAGACAGCAACAAGCTGAAAGCGTGTTTATTAGATGACTAGGGATATTATTCTAGGTTTTATGGGCTGTAGCTGTGTTTGTCTCTCTGTTAATAGCATGAAGTGCTGCACCTCTTCCAAATATGGCCCGTTCCCCATACCTTTAAGCGTTTGGAGCAGCATAATGCAATTATGATACTTGTCTTATGCTGACTTTTAGTCCACTGGGAAAGATATGCATGAATGCCACAACAATGTAACTAAAATAACTAGTACAAAACTCGATTCTTCTATAAGCCCCAATGTTCTGAGTTGGGGGCGTGCCATTAAAAAGTCATGGAAGTCACTGATATTTGTATTCTAAGCTGATTGTAAACCAGACAATTTATTTTGTTATTAGATATTATATATCCAAAATGATAACTTTATATGAGGAAATGTATTTTTAATGTAATTCAGTGGAATCAGGCTTTTCCCCAAGTAATTTTGGGCTGTTTCTCTTGGTCCATTCATCTTGAATTTACACACAATATAAAGTAAAACAGACATTTTCAAATTATGACAAAAACTGAAAAACGATAAAAATGGAGATGCAGGTTTTGTTCCGAACGCAGTGATATATTAGAGGTAAACACAGTCTCTGCATGAATTCCATGCTGGTCTATGCTGGTTTATACAGGTTTATACTGGTTTATGGTGGTCTAGTACTTGTTTAGCTGGTCACCTATCATGGTCATGCTGGTTGACCAGCATACCAGCATCTAAAACACAACATATGCTTGTTTTTCCAATGATCAGCCTAATAACTTCCATTGCTGCTGACCAGCACACCACCAATCCTGGGCTAGGCTTTTTTGTTCTTGTGGGGTAACAAGATAAAAACACATTGAGCATCCTCTGCTTTTCAAATTGTCCCAGTAACACAAAATAATGTCCTCTCTGATGATTGAAAATGGGCTGTCCATTTTGTGTCTGATCAATTGAACACAACACAGCTGTATGCAAAGGTTTGGGCACCCCTGGACAAAGAACATATGTTGATTTTTGGAGTAAAATAAAGGTAAACACAACCTTGGCACGCTATATAAAAAAACATTTGGTCACACTTTCTATGAATGTCA